TGATTAACTATGATTGTACAGAGAGCCGGGCTAGCAATGTTTGTACAGAGAGCCCGGCTAGCTATTTTTTTTACAGAGAGCCCGGCTAGCTGTGCTGTACAGAGAGCCCGTCTAGCTATGCTTGTAGAGAGAGCCCGGCTAGCTATGCTTGCAATGGGAGCCTGAATAGCTATGTTTGTACAGAGAGCACGGCTGGCTATGCTTGTACAGAGAGCCCGGCTAGCTATGCTTGTACAGAGAGCCCGGCTAGCTATGCTTGTAATGGGAGCCTGGCTAGCTATGTTTGTACAGAGAGCCCGGCTAGCTATGCTTGCAGTGGGAGCCTGGCTAGCTGTGTTTGTACAGAGAGCACGGCTTGCTGTTTGTACAGAGAGCATAGATATCGGTATTTTGTGCTGAAGTTTGTTCGCCCTTAATTAGCTAGGCGTGTTATCTTTAATTTTCATGTGTTTTTAAAAAAAGATAAGTAAAGGTCTAGTGTAGTGCGGGATGGTGCAGTCTAGTACAGCATAGTAGCAGTAGTCCATTACACTGTAGCCGAAGTCAGTTAGTTTTAGCTTACAATGACGCTGGCACCCTTTTAAGGAACTGAAGGCTAGATTGATCTAAGGGAGAAAATCGTGGACTCCCGCAAGCAGCTTGGGCCGTTGGTGTCCAGCCCGCAGTTCCGTAGTGGCCGGACGAGAGGGCACACAGCACACTACTGCTGTGTGTGTGTGTGGTTTGTGGACCCCCGGAACGGGTGCCCGACCTGAGCACACAATACACCTCAGCGCCAGCCAGTCGTAATTTAGTATACAGTAATTAGCTTTATAAAGTAGACGTAGCTGCTACTTCTATTGTTGATATTATGTAATGTCGCGTGTTCATCTATTTTTTTGACCTACGATAAAATGTTACCATTCCTGGGCTGTACCTCCTGTGTTTATATACTCATTTAGAAATTGGGTGGTCATAGATATTAATAGAAGTGTGCGAGTGAAAGAGTGCCATTGTATGTAAGTGAGCGTGTGGTGATATTTGATTATCAAAGTAATACGTAAACTATTACACTATGCAACAGTACGTATATATTTATTTTAACTAAAATTATATCTCTTTATATTTTACGCTGCAATAGTATTGAATTAATATTGTACAGGCTAATGACACTGATGAAGCCCATTTTCAATATTGAATATTGTCAGATTTAAAAAAAAAATAAAATACATCTCCATATTTTACCTTTTTTTTTTTTTCATATTTTACGGCCACGATACATGTATTTATAATTTTGTTTTCTGGTTTAATACATGTATTGATAATTTTGGTTTCTGGTTTGAATTCAGAGTTGACCTCCTCTTAGTTGGGTTGCCTAACGAGTCCCATCCACCCGGGGATGCTTGACTGATTTGCTAAATTTAGAACATTCGGTCCCCCATTTAATATGAAACTCATGTTATTTTGCAATTATATTTCTTTATTGTCTTAAAATCAAGGACACCATTAGTAAATAATTGTGGCCTGATTGTCAGAATAGATATAAATTAAGTTTATGAATGTGATTATATTTTAAAAAACACGTATCATAGCATATTTCAAATCATGGATTTCCCACAGGGGAAGCGACAAGCCAAGGAGACCCCTTGATCTATGTTGTTACTGGTGTTATCGCCCCATTTGTTGTGTTGGCCGCACTATTGTTAGCCAAGTACAGTGAGTATCCATGGAATCTTTATCTAAAAACTATCCTGTGCAGCTGCATAAATAAAATAATATACAAACTAATTTTTTCTTTTTTTTTAAATTATTGGTCATAGATAAACGCCCAACAATTCTAATATTGATGCAACTTCCATTTTATAATGATATACATGTGAATAGCGTTAGTGTAGATAAAGTGTCTTAACAACGCAGTCATCAATGATATAATTGAAAAATATTTTATTTTTTTAAACAGTGACACAAAAAGTGTAAGTACCTTTGCTCTGCCCTTATTTTATACATTTTGTTGTTGCTATCAAATAGATAAGCCGTCAGAGCCTTGCTTGAGGTTTAAATTGTACGTTTTAGATATAACGTGGCATGCTTGAACGCCGAAATAGCCATCTATAACTATTGAAACATGCGTATGTATTATCTATTCATACCCTTGCCTTGTCTTTAACGGCCCTGCATAGTATCATACCGGTAGCGTGAGCTCTTAATACCCCCTCCCCCCCCCCGGCACACCCCTACACGGGCCAGACGCCTGGTCTCCCCGCCGCCAGACTGCGCGGAAGCACGCCGGGAACCTCCCCTCCCTCCTGGCCCAGGGGACGTCCGGTCGACTGAAAACGATGCGTTTAAAGCGTTCGCAGTCCACTCTCCTTGGATCTGAACGGCTTTGCTTCTCCTCAAGGGGGGGGGGGGGAACGTGTTACGTTACCTCCCCCCCCCAACGTCCAGGAAGGTGTCCGGTCGGGACGTAAGCGGGGATGAAACTGTCCACTAGAAGCGGCTTTCTCAGGGCCGCGTAGCTAAAATCATCGGTAGGAGTTTTGACAAGGGTGATATCCAACAAATGGAGAAACCGTTTTGTGTCTGTATCAACGAGCAGGATTATGTTTGGTCTTTATCCATGTCAATGGATCGGGTTTAGGCTGTACTGGTGTCATTCGGCTGTGCTTAGCCTTTAACTGTGTCATTGGACAGTGTTTGGTCTTCATTTGTGTCATTGGCCTGTGTTTGGTCTTTTTCTGTGTCTTTGGACTGTGTTTGGTCTTCATCTGTGTTATTAGACAGTGGTGTTCATCTGTATCATTTGACAGTGGTGTTCATCCGTATCATTTGACAGTGGTGTTCATCCGTATCATTTGACAGTGGTGTTCATCTGTATCATTTGACAGTGGTATTCATCCGTATCATTTGACAGTGGTGTTCATCTGTATCATTTGACAGTGGTGTTCATCTGTATCATTTGACAGTGGTGTTCATCTGTATTATTTGACAGTGGTGTTCATCTGTATCATTTGACAGTGGTGTTCATCTGTATCATTTGACAGTGGTGTTCATCTGTATCATTTGACAGTGGTTTTCATCTGTATCATTGACAGTGATGTTCATCTGTATCATTTGACAGTGGTGTTCATCTGTATCATTTGACAGTGGTGTTCGCGATCGGGGAGGGTGGCGGCTGGTTAGCAATCTACTTTTTGTCTGTCTTAAGCAGTGCCGTCACCATGCGGTGTTGATGATCAGGCTCTCAGTCTCCTTTATTGACGGTCTTTCTCTGGGTTACTGGTCCAGCATGTTAAAAAAAAAAGAGTTTGATGATTAAAAGGGGATCAATGACAAGGTAATTCATTCTTTAAGGTAAAGTTAAACCCGGCTACAACGTGATCCTCTGGGGCGTTCGTAAAGGCTTTTTTTTTTTTTTACATCTTTAATGAGCCAAGCGTTATTCACCTTGGAGACATTGAATTGAACACATGTCAGTGTTCATTAAGGATAGTTTATTTGGAGACTCTAATTTGGTAAACCATTTTTGTTACAAATGACCTTTAAATTTAAAAAAAAAATGTGCCAATGAGTATGCGATATTTTGGGAGCACGTGATATCAAACTTCGCGTCATGCCAGGGCATCTTTTTGTCGGGGTGCCACCGAGTCTAGATCACTTAATTTAACGCTGGGATATGCGGTTAGAAAATTAATATATTATAATAAACAAAGAGTATCTCTAAAAACAAAAATAAACACGTCAATTCCCTTAAATCCACTTAAAGAGCCAATGCGCATATAAATTGACTGCCACGAGACACCCTGAAAATAATGTGTATGCAGAAAACCCTGAAAATAATGTGTATGCAGAAAACCATGAAAATAATGTGTATGCAGAAAACCATGAAAATAATGTGTATGCAGAAAACCATGAAAATAATGTGTATGCAGAAAACCATGAAAATAATGTGTATGCAGAAAACCCTGAAAATAATGTGTATGCAGAAAACCCTGAAAATAATGTGTATGCAGAAAACCATGAAAATAATGTGTATGCAGAAAACCATGAAAATAATGTGTATGCAGAAAACCATGAAAATAATGTGTATGCAGAAAACCATGAAAATAATGTGTATGCAGAAAACCATGAAAATAATGTGTATGCAGAAAACCATGAAAATAATGTGTATGCAGAAAACCATGAAAATAATGTGTATGCAGAAAACCATGAAAATAATGTGTATGCAGAAAACCATGAAAATAATGTGTATGCAGAAAACCATGAAAATAATGTGTATGCAGAAAACCATGAAAATAATGTGTATGCAGAAAACCATGAAAATAATGTGTATGCAGAAAACCATGAAAATAATGTGTATGCAGAAAACCATGAAAATAATGTGTATGCAGAAAACCATGAAAATAATGTTTATGCAGAAAACCATAAAAATAATGTGCATGCAGAAAACCATGAAAATAATGTGTATGCAGAAAACCATGAAAATTTCGCATCTTTTTTGAGAGATTTAAGTGAATATTGCAAATAAAGAAATGACCTTCTATAGTGTATGGCGGCTAAATTTTGAGGCGGAGAAATACTTTAGATGTCTTGCCTTTAAATGTTTCTAAGGTAAAGAAATTCTTCAGACGCCCTGTGTTTAAATATTTCTAGTTTAAAAAATATTGTCTTGATAAGAATATTTATCTATACTAATTTTCTGCTGAAAATAAATATGTACAATCTATTCCAAAAATTATTTTCCTCTTATTTTATATAGCAGAATAACCCTTTCTTATGATAACTTATCTGATTGTATCGTATATTATCTTATCTTATCATATTTTACGTATGTAATACATTTCTTATGAAGCAGCTTTAACACTTCTGATATTCCTATAATTTTGTTTAATTTTTCATACTAAGATAATTATTGATAAACTTTTTTTTTTTATATTTTAGTTAGTTTAAAAAAAAAAAACTGTTAAAAGAATTAAAGGCCATTCAAACGTGCGCCTAGATATTTATATCTACTTAAATCTCAACAGAACTTGTCATCGCCTTGAAGCAGTTCAAACGTCAAAATGCATTGTAGACGCTGAAAAAACTTGCGTGTGTCCAGATAATCCCAACTTCAAATGTGCCAGAGAAATCCACGGTTCAATGAGCCAAGAAATGATTAATTTGAACATACTGTCGGCCAACAGAGATAATACGGATGTTAGGATACAATCTTCATACATTCCAATTGACAAAAACTTCAAAATTTTGAGGGCCGGTCATCACCAGGGAGATCGTAACATCTTCGATGGCCGATACTGTGGATTCCAGTGCTGTGCCATGGCTCTGGCAATAATTCTGAGATCGTCCATTCTGCCCATTTCTGATTGGACCTCAGACGTCGTCACTCAGAGTATGTTGGCTGCCCATCGTTTTTATGCTATGGTGCTGTACTTGCAATACGTCTTCCAGAATCCTGAGCTGCTTGAAAGAGCTCAAGACATATTTTGCTACGATCTCCCGGGACGATATTTACGGGTTCAAGACTTTGATGTCGTTAAAAACTGTGTGAGTTTATTCGAAAAGTCGTTTACTTTAAGTTATGAAGCAGAGTCGCCGCTTTTCGGAACTTTAATGGATAATTCAAATTCCAAAAGTCCAGTAGAAGGCCCAGGTAAAACTCTGTTGGATTCACTCCATCAATTGTTCACGTTTCACAATGCAGGGATTTTCATCGCAGGGGGCAAATCCCTTGCCGTCATAAGTCACGGAGACAAATTTTACCTGTTTGACTCACATTCTTGCGGTCCCGTCGGGGAACCGACATTAGACGGTAAGGCTTGTGTCATTCAAGTTGAAACATTGTCGGCGCTAGCAAACTGCTGCAAACGATCTGCAGTTGATGAAAGACTGACTTATACTGTCGACCATGTTGATGTGACAGTGTGTCGTGATAGTCCGGCTACAAAATAGCTGCATGAAACATTAGCTCAAATAGACATTCAATTCTAGTGACATTAATGAGTAGATTTTAACCTAGATCACTATCAATATCAACTGATTAATTTGATTTTAACACGAAAGCCTCCAAATCATATCATCAGGGTTTACCAACGATACCAGGAGTATAAAACCATCGGGAGGTAAATACATTGTTATCTCTTGATCACCTAAAACAGTTTTCATATATATCAAAGTATTAACGGCTATTTCAGAAACTAATGACGTCATTATTAAAGATAAGAATATCTTAATTATACTAAAGGATTTATTTTCCTGTCATAGTATTATACAGTCTAGGTCATATAAATATTTTACGAGACTTTCAGAATTTCCCCTCGTACTTTTTCCATTGTGACTCTAAGAAACGTTCGCTTGGCGAGTTTTTGATCTTGTATATTCTTATTTATGACATCTTTGTTCTATTATCATTCAATTGTACTAAAAAACATTGTAAGTTATATTAGAAAATTTCATATAATTGATATTTGTATTTCTTAATAAAAAACTAGTAGCATTCATTCATTGCTCTTTGATATTGTGATTAACTTTGTTATTCTCATTAGCTTTGTTATTCTCATTAGCTTTGTTATTCTCATTAGTTTTCTTATTCCCATTAGCTTTGTTATTCTCATTAGCTTTGTTATCGTTTGTTTTTATACATTGATATTTCCTTTGGGTTACGCGATGTTTTTGTAACGAGCCAATCTTAACACACTAAACATTGCTGTAATGATAGCCAATCTTAACACACTAAACATTGCTGTAATGATAGCCAATCTTAACACACTAAACATTGCTGTAATGATAGCCAATCTTAACACACTAAACATTGCTGTTATGATAGCCATTCTTAACACACTAAACATTGCTGTAATGACAGCCAATCTTAACACACTAAACATTGCTGTAATGTTAGCCAATCTTAACACACTAAACATTGCTGTAATGATAGCCAATCTTAACACTCTAAACATTGCTGTAATGATAGCCAATCTTAACACACTAAACATTGTTGTAATGATAGCCAATCTTAACACACTAAAGATTGCTGTAATGATAGCCAATCTTAACACACTAAACATTGCTGTTATGATAGCCATTCTTAACACACTAAACATTGCTGTAATGATAGCCAATCTTAACACACTAAACATTGCTGTAATGATAGCCAATCTTAACACACTAAACATTGCTGTAATGATAGCCAATCTTAACACACTAAACATTGTTGTAATGATTGCCAATCTTAACACACTAAACATTGTTTAGCTGTAATGATAGCTAATCTCTAGAAAATGTTGACAATAATTATTATCTAAACATACAATCGTTGCGTCATCATGCAATACTAAGTGTCTATCGTGTGATAGAATGTTTTTTTTTAAAAAAAATTATAAAAAAATTATAAAATCAATTGAGCGATTGTCACAGAAAGAAGGAGCTAATATAATGTGGCTGCCACGTCTGCTACTCATCTCAAGACACCAAATCTAACTCACTATGAAATAAATAACTTAGAAATGTGCCCACCGTGTCAAATATGAGTCAAGCTATTTATTTATTATTCGTCTAAATAAGTAAGATTTATAACCGAAAGAGACGTCGGAATGAAATCTCTATGAGTGGAGGAAATACGATGAAATTAATCATGGGGTAATGTAGATGAGATTAATCATGGAATAACTTATGTGAAATTAATAAAGGAATAATATAGATGAAATTAATCATGGAGAAATGTAGATAAGATTAATCATGGAGAAATGTAGATACGATTAATCATGGACTCACTTACATGAAATTAATCAATGAATAATGTAGATGATATTAATCATGAAAAACTTACAGGAAATTAATCACGGAGCAATGTAGATGAAAATAATCAAGTTTGCAGCGTACGATAGAATAGGAAAAGGGACCAAGTAAATACATTGACACGAATTCTATGGCGCCGTCCAATGCGTGGACAGAATTACCTCCTCTTCTTTCAAAGAATGTTCCCACTGGTTCTACTATGCGTTGTAGGTTAAAAAGGAATAAACACACAACACATTTAAACTATTTTACATTTCATATTTAAAAAAAAATATATAATTTCAATTGTAAAGGACCGGTATATTATGTTCGGCACCAGAAAATGGATAACTTTTTCATTGAGTGTAACTATTTTATTAATTGTTTCCCCCGTTTTAGAAACACTGACCTAAAAGTGTGTTGTATATATATATATATATATATATATATATATATATATATATATATATACATATTATTGTATTATATACATATATTTTTACTGTCCACAAGTGTATCTATTTTATTATTTTTTTCCCGCGTTTTAGAAACTCTTTTCTTTTTGTGTGTTGTATATATATATATATATATATATATATATATATATATATACATACTACTGTATTAAATACATATCTTTCTACCGTCCACACAATTATCACATACTTTTGCTATAGCACACACTCATAGCACGACCTCCTGAATAGGGCTGCCTTACACTCGACCGTTATGTCTCTCCAATGTTGTATCTCCTTTGATTCTCCCTGGCATTCGAATTAGCAGACATAAAGGGTTTTAACGTTAGAATTAGAAAATAAGATACGATTTCCCGATTTCTTGTTTTTGGCGATACCTGGGCAAAAACAACAACAGCTAGATCGACACTCGCACTGTGTTAGCCCACATCCCAATGACCGTTGTAGGTCCTCGGAAACAGTGCACTTTTCTGGTTAATGCATCTTCCAATCATTATTCTTTTCCAATATAAATATATATATATATATATATGTGACTTCCAATTTTATTAATTTTTCTTTTTTAAAATCAGAAAGTAAAACGAATAAAAGAAAAGTATTTGATTTAAAATTATTATTTAATAACTTTAAATCTTGTCCTGAGCCAGTAAGAGAAATTAATTAATATGATTATATAGTTATTTTTAGTGTAATGGTGAGTTCAACAATATGGGTTTAAATTCATCACGGTGATAATTTACGACATAAAAGATATTACGACCAAAAAAAAAAAGAATGATTGTTACCAAGGGCACACGTGGTAGGTGATGACTCACTAAAATATACTAACATGGCTTACAAAGCGAGAACGTCAGCAACACAGCATTTATAATGAATCTGTTAGCGTTTGGTGACTTTTATGACCACATGTAAGGTATACAATTTTGTACTGAGTTGACATTACGGGGGAGGGGAGGTGATCGTGTATTCACTGTTTGATCAGAGTATCCATGACAAAAGAAAAGAAATGTTCGGGTGGTAACAAAAAAATCTGTGGTGGTTGGTGTCAGACAATGATAATAATTACTCGAGGATGACGGACCGGACCTTCTTCGGTTGGAAGTTTCGGAGCACGGACCGGACCTTCTTCGGTTGGAAGTTTCGGAGCACGGACCGGACCTTCTTCGGTTGGAAGTTTCGGAGCACGGACCGGACCTTCTTCGGTTGGAAGTTTCGGAGCACGGACCGGAAGGTCACGAAAATTCTCAACTCCAATTTAAAAAAATAATAATAGGGGCTCCGTTTTCCCAGCACCGTCCAGTTCTACAGCTGTGTTTCAAACCGTTGGTGTTAAATATCACGTGATTTCACGATGTAAATGTAGCTGGGCATCAAACCACAAATATTAAGCAGCCCACCGACAACCAACAACCGAAACTTCAATGTTGTTGTCGTTCTAAAGCAGCCATTATTTCAATTGTAATGGTTAATACATACGCATAATGCATCTCTCCGAAGAGGCCATTACCCGTCCCGTATTTTCAATTCTACTTGCGTTACTTTATTTATTCTGTTGCGTCTTTTTTTTTTAAATAAAGAAAATTGAAGTCACTCTCTTATGTTATGACTTGTTTGGTAAGACGTCACAATGACAAAATTCTTTTGTTTCACGCATTATCGACCCATGTCCCCTGATGAAGTCTAGCTGGTATTATTTCCAATTAACTATAGCCGAGTTTAAGAGTGAGAGTTGTGTATTGTTTGATATCGATAAGAAGGTGATCGATTCCTCAAATCAGTCAAGTGTAACGACAAACAATCCATAACTAATACTACCAGTACTTAGGACTGACGCTACAACAATAGGCCGCCAACACCCCCCTCCCCCCTCCCCATCAATAGTTTTTTAAAAAACACAATATTTCCTGTGGTGCAACATTATGAAACGAATCACTGGTGCTGTGCTACTCCTTGGTGAACGGGGTGAAGGGGGGGGGGACGCCTTGCCTTCTGTGGCAGTTTGCAGCGCCATGGTGAAAAACACAATGTCAATTTTTTTTTTGAGTATTTAATTTTTAAATTTTTTTTTTATGTCTTATTTAGATCCAGTTCTAGGATACTGTGCTTTTTTTCAACTTAGAAAGCCACAAGAAAACAGAGAACGACTTCAAGCACATTATCTCAGCGCCAAATGCCGAGACTGGTTCATCACACATGTTTCTCACTTTTAAAGCAACGCATGTTGGAGGACAGGAGAACCGTACAGTCCTTTGCTGTAATAGTAGATTCCACGCCAGATTCACCCCACTTTGAACAAACAAAAATTTATCCTGCTTCATGTAATACCATATCATATCAAGTATGGAACTGTAGAAATAATTTTTACAGTTAAAGGAGGCAAGTCGTGAAAGAGAGTATGATGACGTAGCATAAACGACAGTAGAAAAGAAAGAATGCGATATTCCAGTGCCAGATTGTCATGCACAGAGAGTTGACAACGCAGCCATCATGACAGGAACATCTAAAGGTGCACTACCAAAAAATCCCCAAGTGGATGAGACTCGTTAACCTTGGTCGGCAACTCATCTAAGAGAAGGAAACTCTGAATTCAAACCCGGAGTTGGAGTCCCGTAAGGCGCATACAATGACAATTCCTGCAACCGAACCCATCCCTGGTCGTCTTGACGTATAGTCTTGCCACTGAATATGGTGGGCCCGGACGAGAGAGCGAGGGTGACGCCGCGCAACTCTTTCTCACTTTAAACAAAAGTCACCCGCGCAAGTCATCAGTCACCGGACGACTCGATGGTCATCGTCGATCCTCGACGGACGAAAAAAAAAAAAACCCTTGGATAATGATTCGGCTTTATTTTCACAATGTGGGTGTCGCCACTTAATTCAAGTGGAAATGATGCCGCTGAATGCACCCCAGAGGCCAGAAATGTTGACACATTGTTTAGTTGTAGGCGCACATTTCACCAGGCCAGATCATCACAGGGACCCTACATGCCGTCTTTGCAGCCTGGTCCCGGAAAAACCCGAGCGCATCCGT